TTTAGACATGTAAACAATGTTATAAAGCATATAACAAGCATTAAAACACATTTAGGAAAATAGACTCACAATCCAGGATGAAAACCCAAAGATCCGTCAGAGAGAAATGGCTTTTCTCTTGTTAGAATTGTGAATAATGAATTAATTAAGTTCAGAAATCTATTTATAGTCCTGAAATATTTTGACAGAAAATATTTCTATTCCGGAAGTTGGACTATAACATTATGAAACTTGAAATGTTCAAGTTTCACAAATACAGGAGCATCCACTCTCCTGATATATCCAGAAACGTAAACCCTAATGTACACAAACTTGTTCGGACAAGTTTGAAAATCACTGAAACTGGACTAGCTTCTATTGAATAGATAATGTTCGTACAAATGGAAATTCTGGGTTGTCACATCATCCCCCCCATTAGAAGGAATTTCGTCCCGAAATTAGAATTTAAGCAAATAAGAAGTTACAAATAACTAAGCGAAAAGATGAGGATAGTTTAGTTTTCATCTGATCCTTGCGTTCCCAAGTGAATTCCGGTCCTCGCTTGGCATTCCAGCGAACCTTCACGATAGGGATATGGCTTTGTTTCGTCTGCTTGACCTCACGGTCCATGATCTCTACAGGTTCTTCCACGAAGTTGAGGCTCTCGTTGATCTCGATCTCGTCGAGTGGGATTACGAGAGTCTCGTCGGACATACACTTTTTCATGTTAGATACGTGGAATGTAGAATGTACGTTACGAAGTGTGTCGGGTAGATTAAGATTGTAAGCTACGGGGCCGACTCTTTCGAGAATCTCGAAAGGCCCTATGTACCTAGGATTAAGCTTCCCACGCTTTCCGAAGCGTATCAAGCCCTTCCAGGGTGAGACTTTGAGAAGGACTCGGTCTCCCACCTGAAATTCCAAAGGTTTTCTTCGTTTATCAGCGTAGCTCTTTTGTCGCTCTCTAGAGGCCTTCAATCATTCACGGATCTGAACGATCTTCTCCGTCATTTCCCAAATGATTTCCGGACCGGTGAGAGTGCTGTTAGAAGCTTGCCCCCTAGCTAATTGAGTATCACCCACCCCAACCCAACACAGAGGGGATCTGCACTTTCGGTCGTAGAGAGCTTCAAATGGCGCAGCCTTGTGCTTGTGTGATAACTATTATTATAAGAAAACTCGACAAGGGGTAAATGAGTATCCCATGCTTTCCCGAAATCAATCACACAAGCTCGCAAAGTATCTTCCAGTGTTTGGATGGTCCTCTTGTTGGATAAGGTGTCTAAGTCCATAACTATTTCTGGTATGTACTTGACCCGACCCGGCATGGTCCATTTGGGTTGCATGGCACCATGCAATTGGATAGACTAAATGAGAGAAATAACACTTGGAGATTATAAGTTCTAATATATTAATAATATTATTTGATTAGTTTGATCAAGAATTAATTAAGTGATCAAAAGATAACTAATTAAATATATGGGTTGATTATGTAAATCATCCATATCTTGTATAGTGGGCTAAAAGGCTCCATGGACTATCAAGTTGGGTTCCACCCATAGGATGCTCCATGGATGCTCCATGGGAGTTACAAACCCATGGGTCATGGAAATGAAGAGTCATGACACATTAGGGTTTAACCCTAGATGTGTCAACACTATATAAGTAACATGTTCTCCACCCAAAATCGGCTACACTAAGAAACAAGAGGGCTTGGCCGATTTTGAAGAAGTGAGTATTCTCTCATAAGTTCTTCCAAGAGCATTTGGTGTTGTGTGAAGCATTTGAGGCATCACACTTGGGGTGCTAGGCTCACAAGGTTTCAAGGAACACAAACAACAACAAGGTAAGTTATTCTATCTATACTTTATGTTAAAATTGTTCCCCATGTATGCTAGATAGGAATATAACCTTGGAATTCAACTTTGCATGACAATTAGACAAACATAGATCCAAGGTTATTAGGGTTGCATGTACACTTAGGAAGTGTTAGAATGCTCAAAACCCATCAGTGGTATCAGAGCCTAGGCTTGTTTGCTCTTATTTGTGCTTAAAAGTTGAAAACAGAATCGGAAATTTTGCTGTCTGCGAATGGACTCGTCGAGTCTATAGGGGGGACTCGTCGAGTCCATGAGTATCTTCAACCAACTCGGCGAGTCAGTTTATGCACTCGGCGAGTAGGGTCGACTGAGTGCAGAATTTCGATTCAGTTGCTGGAAATGAATTAGAAACATTACCCTAAACTGTTTTGGTAATTGAAAACTTGTTTTTGGTGGTGTAATGTCTTTGCTAATTCATTTACAACAACTAGTTATCAAAATTACAAAGTTTTATGTAATTTTTGATTGTGTTCATATTCATGTTCTTGTTCTTATGATGTTTTAGATGATCATAGGAATTATTTGTAACCTATGTGGTAGATTAATTCTTGATCATAATGTGTTTTAATGGAGTCCATAACTTATCCTTAAGTTATGGAAAACCAAGAGTCACACTTGAGTTAAAACCATTAAGAAAACACAAGAGTTAGAAAAATGAAGAGTCTTCATTTTATTACTCTATTAAACTCATAAGTTACAAGAAATGAAAAGTTTTGAAAGTTACAAAACTTGCCCTCAAGTTTTGGAACAAGTAAAGTTAAGTTAAAACTTTAAGTTCCAACCCCTAGAATTTTAAAAGTTAAAATTCAACCCTTATACTTATATTATGATGATTTAATAATTATATATATATGTATAAGAATAAAGTCGTCTTACCGCTAGTACGCCTCATTCACGAAGCCGGTCTATAAGGTGG